GAAGCGCCCGCCGCGCCACCGCTGCTTCCGGCCCCGTGACGCCGGCGCAGCAGAACGCCCCCGCGAAGAAGACGCGGGCCAGGCGGGAGGGGTTTTTCAAAATCAGTAAAACTTTATTCTATTTCCATTCTTTGCCATTAACAGAAAAAATTGGAGAAAGCAATGTTTGTTTTACAAAGATAATGCATCTCCCAGAGAAGAAAACCCTAAATTGAGAATAGAGGTAACATGAAAAAAAAAAAAAAACAAACAAAAAACCACAGTACTGCCCTCTATTCAAAGAAAGTAACTCCTGATCTTTTTGGTTAAAGTAATACTTAGACCAATCATTCAGTTTTCTTGCTTGATAAAGTGTGACTGGGGAAATGGAGGGGAAGGGGGCAGGGGAAGGGGGGAAAAAAAAAAGCACACAGACATCAACTATTTCACCTTGATGAAAGTCTCAATACAGCTATGGAAAGCCTAAGTATTTATTCTTTTACAGTACACTGGGTGCCGGCTGCAAAAAAAAAAAAAAAAAAAAAAAAAGAAAAAAAAATAGAATAAAATATAAAATAAAATAAAGCACAACTTCTTTCTTTTTAAATTTAAATCAGTAAAAGAAACTGGGTTTAGAAGCTGCAGTGTTCTAAGCAGCAGCAGATTTGTGCATTGTTTTAAATATATTTAAGTTACCACACCGATGGCACACCTCAGCCTTATGAAATTCTGCACTGCACGTGTTTCAGAATGCTACAAAAATAAGTCTACCCTGGAAAGAGACTTTCATTGAGCTCTAACAGCTTTGCTAGCTAAAGGACTCCGGTTAAATGAAACCTGAAAACATTGTCACGTTCGGCCATCAACGCAAGTTATCTGAACGCTCATATGGATCTTAGGTCAAGTTGAACTTAATCCACCCTCGTGTGGTCCTCTGAATTTGAGCAGAGTGAGCCAAAGCGAGCCTTCCACTTCCACTCTGAAGGAAAAACATAACACAATTGAGCACTAAGGCATAGTAATACCTTGGCCAAAAGAACAAAGGTAAAGCATAAGGTAACTGTAGTGCAGAATTCCATAAGGTCTACCAGAGTAGAGCTGTCTATAATGTTTACTCACATAGGCAATGTAGATTTGCAGTTACCAGTTGCGTTAAATGCACCATTCAAAACAAGCTTCTAAAATGTGATACTATAAGGCGCCACCTTAAGTTCTCCAGAATGCAACTGTGCATAATTTTAAAACGGTTTCATAAATTTATTTTAAACATAACATGAGAAGGTGTTAAAACTGGTGTAATAGCTTCTTAAATTTGGAGGAAGGGATGAACAGGGAGATATTCAATACCCTTCACCAGCCCCCAACACTCAGTCGTACATCAGGTATGGGTTTTGTGGATCAGTCTATAACACCAGCTTGACGGATCTTTCTCTCTGCACCAAATCCCTGCAAGGAAAGGAAAACAAACTTTTACGTCCAGCATCATGCTTTAAAGCAAACCTGTTCTGTTCCAACCAAGTACAGCATCAGCACGTTTCTAATTAGCCACGTTCGCCTCCAGAAACAGAGACAGTAACAAAACAGGTTCTGTGGGTTCATCTCTGTAGTCCCAGTGCTTGGCAGATTCCAGACACTATAACCCTTCTGCTTATCAGGCGGTGGCAGAACGTTATGTGAAAGCCAAGTTTAAGTTTAGGTAAAGGGATTTCACGTACATCTCTGAGCAGTGAAACAGGAGGTTCATAGAACAAAAAACTAACCAAGATAGCCATGACTGCCTAGAACACAAGCAGCAATTGGTTGCTTCTATAATGTGCGCTCTTCTGAAACCACAGCATACATCAGTGACCCAGGATACAGCCCCCCTGACCTCGCACAAAAATAATCTGATCTCCCACAGCAGGTGACTAGCTCGCTACGGAACAGACCGGACACTACGTTTCAAACAGTCCAGGCTTCCAACAGAGGAAGCAGCGTCACGTTACCCAAGTGAAAACACAAACTGCTGTTATCCTATGAGCTCGCCTTTTCTCTTGCCTACCTTTGAGTTATCCGGTCCCCTAGGCTGACGAAGAACTGTTAGACGAGGAGCATTGGCATCATCCAGATTAATGCTCTTTAAGCGATTAACAAGTCTATCGGGACGTGGAGCAGCAACAGCCTTGGCGCCTTCACTGTAACAGAGTCAACCATACAGAGCACTGATGACTTCCCAGAGACAGTGTAAGCCACCTAATTTATAGTCACTCCCCCCATTAAGCCATTAGCATGATGTGTCTTGTGTGAAAGCGGACCTTCCCGATGACACCACGTATGTCTGCCTCAAAACCACGACTTTAACTACAGGACTCAAACACCAGTAGCTCAAAAGGGCATTCTTTAGTGAGCAGAGGTGTTGCATTTACTCTCATGCACACATAGGTAGTATTTCCTGTATTTATGTTCCCTTTAACTGCAACAATAAGAAACTGAAGAGTTGCCAGTGTGTAATGGCATAGCATTAACACCTCTGAAGATGGTAACAGACAGCTTTTAGAGAAAAAAAATCAAATGTTAGCTTCCTGCAGCTATAGAAGTACCATTTCAAGCCTAAGCAAAACCAAACTGGTGCATTTTCTTCAAAATGTGTAAGTAGTTCAAAAGCAAAAAAACAAAAACAAATACCCACCACCCTTAAGAAATGACAGGCCAAAAAGAAGAGAGTGCCTAACATTGGTTTTCCATTTGAAAGCAGAAGTTGGTCTTCAGGAATCAGGTGGAGGCACTATGTCTTATGCTGGTCAGAGAGGCCAGCAACTAAATCGTAATACCATCAGTTCTCTTATCATTCATTAACTTCTACTTAGAAGGCTGTATCGAAGTTCCTGCTACGGGAGGAGCTTCTCAAGAAGAGATTAAAGAACGACCAGGCTATCTGTAATTAAGAAAAGCTGAGAGGTCTGCTGCTGCACTGTACTGGACACCCTACAAGTGCCAGCAGTTCTCGTGTCAGAGGCTCCCACTGAAGCCAGCTGAAATTCAGAGGTCCCATTCTAGGGCCAGCTAGCTCAGTTTAGAAGCAGCACGCACTCCACTGCTATGATGGAGACACTGTGCCAGATTAAATCACTTGAATTCCAGATCCTCACCAGACACGCCACACATTACAGGCACTGCATTTTCCTGTGCGCTGGTTCAGGATTACTGAGAACTCCACTTCATCCCCAGCCTGTAGCTCCACACCATCCTGAACTTCTTTGACATGGAAGAAGAGCTTTTTGCTGTCACCCACTTCATAGTTAATGAAACCAAACTGAAAACCAACACATGACAAGGTTATTTCTTTCCTCTTGATCCAACAGGTGCAATGACTTACTCATTATTGCAGTTTAACTACTTCTAGAAAAAACACAACAACTCTGAAGTGCCTCATAGAAGTGGAAACAAAATTTCTACACTGAACAGAACATTCTGTCTGGAAACATTATTTCTGGAATTCTTAGGTACGCTTCTTGCGTTTGTAAAGTCACATTTGAACCCTGAATTCTATAGAACGAGTTCTGAAAACTGCCGAAGTCCTGGCAGAACACTGCTGCACGTTCTTTTCTAAGAGTCCACATTAAAAGTTACACAGTAGAAACCACTCCAGTTTTTTGTCAGTCACTGGTATAAGAAGTCAGTCACTTCCATTTTCCGTTCTACTCATGTATACACCAGCAAAACTCATCTAGCCTCTTCATAAATGACTACAGCTTAGTGGTGCAAAATACTACGAAAATACAAAGCATTCACAACACTTAATTTTCTAATCATTCCAAGATGTGACTAACTAGGGCAATGTCCTGGTTTCAGCTGGGATTTTTTCTTCCTAGTAGCTGGTACAGTGCTGTGCTTTGGATTCAGGATGAGGATAAGGCTGGTAACGCACTGATCTTTTAGTTGTTGCTGAGCACTGCTTGCACTGAGTCAAGGACCTTTCTTCAGCTTCTCATGCTGCCCTGGCAGCCAGGAGGCTGGGTCATGCACAAGCAGCTTGGAAGAGACACAGCCAGGACAGCTGACCCAAAGGAGCCGAAGGAATATTCCATACCGTATGACATCATGCGCAGTATATAAACTAGCAGGAAAGCTGGCCAGGGAACACTGCTCGGGAACAGGCTGGGCACTGGTCGGTTCGTGGTGAACAACTGTTTTTCATTTGCATCACTTGTTGTTCTTGGGTATTATTTTCTCTCTGTTATTTTCCTTTTAATTTCAATTTATTATTATTATTTTATTTCAATTATTAAACTGTTCTTATCTCAAGCCCTGCGTCTTCTTACTTCGACACTTCTGATTCCCTCCCCCATCTCACTGGGGGATGGGGAGGGAGTGAACGAGCGCTGTGTGGTGCTTCGTTGCCAGCTGGGGTTAAACCACGGCAGGCAACGATCAGCCTTTGGATTTCAGGGGGACTGTAATCATTGACTGATTAACATAGCAAAGCAGCTTATTCTAGAAGGGGAGTATGTGCAGTTTTGTTCCTTTTTTTAAACAGCTTTTCAAAAGCCCCGTTCAGCAGATACTGGTTGGATCTATTTCTAGTGCACCTCAAAAACAGGTCTTCAGAATCAACCACAGCACAACTGCTGCCCAGGAGTACTGACTAACAGCACCAAACCAAGTACTGAGTTCACCTTTAGTAAAGTCACGTTACACAGGCCTGCATAAACCAGTACACTTGGGTTACACAAACTTGCTTCCCTAGAACCAGGGTACAAAGCAATCCATTTGTGCACAACAAGCTTCCTGGTTCAAGTGCTGAACTCTGTTCTCATCTGCTCCATGCCAAGTCAGGCAGCTCTTTCCTATTAACATGTATCTTGTCTTCACAGCATTGGTCACTCACCTGATCTTTCACGCATTCCACTGTGGCTCTGCGGAATGGTGTGATGTTAACAGCCATTGTCTGCCCATTTTGACCAAGAACACAGAGCTGAAACTTTACTGTCTCTCCCTTTTGCAGACAGTCACCTTTGTTTGCCATTCCAACAATTCCAAATGGATAGACCTCTCCTTTCATCTCACCTACAGGAGAAAGAAGTACACTACAAAATTGAGAGGCATCCTTTCCTACCCGAGGGCATTCAGAATTTAATGCCAATATTAGAAATGCTACTTTTACTGACAGCTTAGTAGTACAAACATAGTCCGCAGTGTGAATATAACCCTCAACACCTCTACTTACAGCTTATTAAACTTCTATGCTTCTTGTGCATTTGTGAAAGGAACGCTTATACTTTAAAAGCAACAAATCTTACCATCCTCCATGACTTCAATCATGCCCTGGTATTCAGTTTGTGTGGGATCTACACTCCTCAAAGGACGAATTACTTTACCAGAGTAAACAGTTGGATCAGCTTCTTCCGTGATACCATTCACTGACAAGAAACAGTGGAAGAACAAGATGTTCCAGTTATACTTTATTTTTAAGGAGAATTAACAAGTGGTTCAGACTGACCAGGAGCCAGTAATTTGCACTGCAAGACACCTAAGGCAGTGCACTCTATCACGCAGTAAAACTGGAACAGCTTTAACACAGCTTTTATAGTATATAAGTAATGATAGCTTTTCTAATCAAGATCACACCAAAATCTCAAAGATGGAAGAAGAAAAAGATTAGTTTCTCATGAAACTAGAGGCATGGAACTTCAAAAGCAAATCGAAGTATTTTACCTCTCTTCCACTGCATTCCCATTCCCTGCTCACTTCAGTCATTCAATAAGCTTTTAAGTATGCATTTTTTGCCCCCAAGTCCTTAATTCCCCATCTGCATTCCTCCTGTGAGGTACAGCACAACTAGTGCAATTACTGATTCGGCTGGTTCTGCCACTAGGCCTCTCCTTATAACCCTCCAGCTCAACAGGACCAAGTACAGTAAAGGCCCAAAGAGTTGCCATTGTCTACAGGACTGTTGGTCTGCACTTGTCTGTCCTCTGGAAACACAGGCAACAGCTTTCAGGAAACCAACGACCACCACATTAAGTATGGTCTGTTTGGTCTAAGGTCCAGCTGTAAATAAATTATTAATGAGCTTTATCCATCAGCACCTGCCAAGAGCCTTGTAAGCAGAAAATACCAGGTACAGTCTTACCTGCATGTGTTTTGTTCACCTTTTCCGCACTAACTTTGTTTCCTTTGCCTTTTGACAAGCTGTATTCAACAGTGTCTCCAAGTTCCAGGCTATCAATATCACCACAGTATTCACTACAGGAACAGCATTACATACAATTTTCCTTTAGTCACATGGTAACGGTGATGCTCACTCAACATTTACATAAGTTGATCAGAAACTATTTAACTAGCTCAGCACCTCATGTTTTCAAGAAATCCTCATTCAAGAAAGTAAAGCGTTTCAAATACACAATACAACTGTATTTCTTGGGCTGGGATTCAGAGGCATAGAATGACACACCTAAGCATACATAAACACACATATATATACACACACATACACACACACACATGTGCGTGTGAAGTCCAAATGGGTTTAACAGTCAATTCTACAAAAGTTCACCTCTCCCCCAAGAAAACAAACACCCCTCCCTGTCCCCCCAACAAACAAATAAATAATAATAACAGAAAACTGTCGTTCACCTGTAGTGGAAAAAGATCTCCTTATCATGATTGGCTGTTTCAATAAATCCAAAGTTATCTTTCAGGGCTGCCACATATCCCAAAAGCCTCTTAGAGCTGTAGTTGCGTCCCAGCATTCTGACAGAAACAGCCGTTTGCAGACCAGTTCTCTTCACTTCACAAACACAGAACTCAACCTGTTGAAGAGGCATGTATCAATACTAGATAGAAAAAAAAAAACCTAAACAAACCAAGACCACCACCAACAAAAAGACCCCAAAACAACTCATTTCAAAGCTGTGCAGCTCTAATCAATACCTAGGCTCTCCAGGACAGTAATTTCCTAGCCACTACTCTCCCAGAAACATCTGTCAGTCACTGACATTTACTACATTCCAAAGAGCAGCAGTCACACCAGCGGTATCAGCAAGGCAAGCCAGCCTCTAGCACTCCACTTCTTTCACCCACTAAAGATGAGAATCTTTATGTGATTCGCCTCCTTTCACTACACTTATCACCAGTGGCTCACAGCAAGCGTGTACCTAGCTTCGTTCATTTGATTCAGATTTTTAAAAACAACAATCAGTGCCTTCCTAGCATGGGTCCTGAACACTGACAGCTTTTTTAGGCTGCTCTTCTGGATCTCCAAGCTCTTTCTCCCTTTCCATTGTCTTCCAGACTAATTTCTCATAAGGGTATGTTCTCCCTCTTTAACATCCATCTCAATCTCTATGCTCATTTCCTCTTGATTATTCACAAGCAGAGTCCGCTGTCCTAATGACAAGAATTCCTTGTTTAAAAGGCATCATTTACATTGTAAGAAACTACTTTCACATATGCATCATCAGGTTTTAGGATTTTTTTTTCTTAGTTATACGGAAGATAAAGCCACTCAAACCGAGGACAGAAGAAATGGGTAACATTATGCAGATGCCTTGTCCTTCATTTGTTCGAGAAGGAGAACAAATCCAGTAACCCTTAAGGCAAAGAGAAGCTCACATCTCACAACGCACAGAAAAATATTTCCCAATGGTATACTTAGTTATATTGCCTTATCTCCTATTTGGGGATTAGCAGATCCTTCCACATCCTTGGCCTGGTAAGGAATGGTCAGTTTTACTCCACAGTCATCATAAACAATTATTCCATCCTCAGCTTCCTAAAAACAAGACATCAGAATTCAGCAATGAGTGTCTTATTTGCGAGCAAACAAGTTTACTACATACAATTCAAGCACTGTTCATTTGAGACACAGTGGTTTTACAGTTACTGCTCAGTAACTGGTGAAAAAACCACAAAAAAGCAATCAGCTCTGAGTAAGAAGCTTTAAACGATGCTAGACAATATTTTTAAAGGAAAGAAAGAATTACCACCTCTTCTGGTAAGTATTTATTGGAAGTTTAAGTATTCTGACATTGTTTAAAACAGCGTGACAAAAACCCAGAGGTTCTCCTCTAGCTGTAAAAACTTGAATTTAACCAATACTATCTAGCACCTTATGTAGTAGGAGGTAGAAAGAAATTTCCCATCAAGTTCCTGGAAATTATCCTCAACATCATCATCACCGATGCTTTTATTATCTTGTTTCACACAAGTTAGTTTTTGCTGACTGCTGTCATTACTATTAATGTACTTCACATTTATACAGGATAAACAGTGCTTCTGTGCAAGCTGAAGCACAGATGCTAAGGAAGCAGCCTCAGCCTGCAAAGCCAGGAACACAGAATAGGGACTTCACAAGTAGAAGAGCAGCATTACCTTCTCTTTGCCTTTATTTGGGCTAGTGGCTTTGGCTGGAGTGGCTTCTTTGTCTATAGTGCCCACAAAACGGTGATCTGATTGGGTGTGGAAAGAAACCGTGCCCTTTGGAAGTTTTTTAATCCTTATAGCATGATTTCTTTGGGCAGATAACATATCCTGAAAAACAAGACGGATAGGATTTTAGACACTTCACATAATTTCTTCAAAAACTAAGATTTTATAACAGTGTTAGTCTTACTCACAGGAACAACAGTAAACTCTACTTCATCAGAAATATGGAGTTGATTTCCATCCATAATTTCACTGAAGTGAAAGAACATACGAGCATCCCGATCCACACACTTAATGAATCCAAAGCCATCTCTCATTGCTGCAATCACACCCTGAGAATAGTCAAACAGACAGTTTAGTTTTACTAATAGTATGCAACATCTGTCTGCAGGTACTCCACATCTGTCTGTGAAGTATGTAGTAATCTGAACACAAGGCCTGAATCCTATGAAAACACTTCTTTGTTTATGCCATATGCTTCCTTGCAAGCTGTAGTGCTAATGGCTACAGTCAACCTGAAATGCAAACAAGGCACACTTATCTAGTTTCTCAACTTAATTTCTTATGAAGAAGTGAAGTGGAGATTAATTTAAGCCATTACCAAGAAGGGCTACTATTCAAGAGCTTGACATTACTACTACACAGAGAACACAATCTTAAAGAGGGTAGCTCTACAAATGTGTGCATCATCTATGCAAGTATATAACACATACAAACAGGAGCACATGAAACATACAAGAAACTATATAAACAGGAAGTAAAATCAGTGGTAAGAGGGAAGTTTAAGAGAAAAATCAACAGATTTCCAAACACAAATGAAGAAATTAAAAGCCTTCTTACAAAGAAGTTTGTTAAAACAAGACTGTCATACCCATGGGTGTATATTATGGTAAGCATGCTACATAATATTTTAGCAGCCCTCCTGATAACCACTAGAAATGGAATGCTGAACGATAAACAGAATATACGGTGCCCTATCAACTGTCAAAAAAAAAAAAAAATCCATTTCTCACTCTGACCTCTGTTAAAAACTTAAAAAATAAAGAGGCTCCATAAAGTTGCTGAAAGAGTTCATTACTCAAGTTACGAAGAACTAGTACCAGATCACAACAGAGGTATTGAGCAAGACAGAATCCATAAACATACTCAGTTCAACCCAGTTACTGCAGAGCCTTTAGCAAGTCTCAGGGAAGATTTACAGGATTTGAATGACAGCGCAAACATACTTCCCACCTTTAGGACCATTCTTCTTTTATATAGCTTTCACTCCCTCAGAAAACGTAGGGAGGCAACTAGGAAAGCTAAGGCCTCCTTGGAGTTAAGCCTTGCAAGGGAGGTCAAGGACAACAGAAAGGGCTTCTTCAAATACATTGCAGACAAAACTAATACCAGAGGCAACGCAGCCCCACTGTTGAATGAGGCGGGTGCCCTGCTGACAGAGGATACAAACAAGTCAGAGCTACTGAATGCCTTCTTTGCCTCTATCTATACTGCTGGAGCCTGTCCTCAGGAGCCCCAGACCCCTGAGGCCCCAGAGGAAGTCAGGATAAAGAAGGAGTTTGACTTGGTTGATGAGGACTGGGTTAGAGATCAGTTAATCAAGCTGGACATATATAAATCCATGGGCCCTGATGGGATGCACCCATGAGTGCTGAGGGAGCTGGCAGAAGTCATTGCTAGACCACTCTCCATCATCTTTGGTAAGTCCTGGGGAACAGGTGAGGTTCCTGAGGACTGGAGGAAAGCAAATG